AATTATAAAGCTTATGGCATGTATAGGAATATATGAGCATGAATGGGAAAAAGTAAGCCCATGTTAGGTATGCCAAAGAAAAAAAAAGACTTAGAGTAAAGGGATGTTAAGGGATAAAACGTAGGTCATAGAGCAGTTAGTTTCAAGCTTCAGTTTGACCTATCATATGAATGAGTTAAGCTACTAAATTTGGTACACTTATAGTACACATCCCAAGCTTTAAAATGAGTGGTGAATCACCTTATTTGGATGTGTATACGAATAGATATGAATTTTCAAAGTTAAGGCGCAGAATCTGGAAAGTCCAGATTTTACCAAACGAATAGTAATCTTAATCCAATAAACTGTACGTTTTCAATGAGGATGAGTTTAGTTGAATATTTTTCTCTTAAAGAGTATTGAAAGAGCTTTCCGTAGAATTTTAGAACACCTCCATACGATTTTTCTAGAATTAGTTATGATTTTTCAAAGTTGGACCTGTAATTTGAAAACTAGACAGTGAACAGTAATTTTCCGAAAATTAACGTCCAAATTGAAATTTTTAAGTTTAAGACCATCTAAAGTGGTTTGGAATGGTTCTAAATGACTGCTAAGGTACTATAATAGTAAGGTGTGACATTTTTGGTATCAAAGCAGAGGTTCTGGCATAGGAAGAAAAGAACAATCTGTAAGAATTTAGAAAAGCCCAGTTCAGGTTAGATCTAGTAGTGGAATACTAGCTAAGGTCCAACTAAGGTTATAGATTGGAGGTGAATGCTCTAGGAAAAATAAGTAATAAGGATCTTTGAATGAAGTTGGGATCCTCTGTTAGAAAGGTACAGATAAAATGATGATAAGAAGTTATACGCAGAGGAAGGTAGCCACTGTGTAAAGATAAAGAGACTTCCCTCTAAAGAAAAGGGGATAATGGCTCATAAGTCAGATAGAGGTACGAGTCTAAACCCTAGAAGAAAAAGGGTCAAGTGGCAACCTAAGTTAGATACAGTTACTGTAGCCTTGATACGAGGTTAAGGCAGAATGATCAAAATAATTATCTTTGATTCCTAAATAGATATAAAAAGGTAAGAAGAGCTAAAGATCACTTTCTGCCGCCAGTAATCCCCAAGGATAATGGAAACCAAAAGTGCTAATGGCCTAGAGTTGTGAGCCAGACCTTTCCTTCATTGCTTGAAAGGAAGTAGTTGACTTAGTTGGGGATTACAATGAGGCTAGGACATGGAAGTCCTTCAGGCAGCAGTTGAGGTTACGATGAACAAAGCTATGTAAAACTAGCAGAAGTAAGAGAAAGTATGTTTCGTCATGATGAACCAAAGAAAGTGGTGGCGAATAAGAATTCTGGTCATGACGAATAGAGATAGTGACTCTCAGATGCTGAGGTGGTATCTTGGCATGACTTGATGGACTATGAGGTCCCTGAGAGTAAGACTGATAGAGCTCAGAGAGAGGGTTGTAGCCACTATTTAAAAGCTATCAGATTCCCCCTCAAGAGAAAGAGTAATGATGAGTTGACCAAGATAGTTAGGGGTTGAGTCTGTACACCGCTAAGAGGCCTAAGCTGGACAAACTCTTAAAGCCTCGTTAGAGTTGGAGCACTATGATAGAGTACCTATCTCAAGTCCCTAAATAGATAAATAGGAACTTGGAGGTAGCGAAGTCAAGCTAGAAAACCCTAGTGGAATTCTTAGGGATTAAAAAGAAGAGAAAGAGATAAGAATGAGACAGATAGCCATGCGGGGAATAGCATTATGAGACTGGCATGTTCCCGATGATGTTAAGAGATACTCAGTCACGTGGGGTTAGGTTGAGAGGCACCCTTTCCAAGGGATAAGTTCTTGACCAGGAATCTTCCTAGAGAAAATAGGAATTGGTCCTCCAAGTTAGAATTGATGTTGCTCAAGATGGAGCAAAATGCCCTATCCGAGCAGGAAAGGGAAGCAGCCGAGGCAAGGCAAGTGGAGTTGACCTTACCTAATAGAAGTATGACAAGCCAAGAATAAAGCTAGGGTTCAATGTCCTTAACCTTAGTAGAGAAGGGCAAATAGAAAGAAAAAGAACCTCAAAAGTCTTCTCCCTATGACTTCCAGAAACAGTTGCGAACAGAAAAGAGGCTCCCTCTTGTAGGGATAAGATGTCCGGTTGGCATGCTACGAAAATAGCAACCAGTAAGAGCTTACACTCCTTGCATTAAAATGTCAAACATTATGCATGTTAGAGTATGCTCGTACTGAAAAGTAAAGTAGAGGAAAGAGAAGTTGCATAAGTCCTCTCTCTGTACCATTCTAAAGTAGTAAGAGACGGTAAGAGCAGCTAGAGGAGTAAGAGAACTCCTGAGACAGATTGGCTTAGGCACCTAAGAGACAAATAGGTAGCCTGGGGAATTGATAGGAGGTTTAAGAAATGGTATTGGTTCTTGGAACAGTTTTTGGGGAATTATTAGTATGGTGGCCAACTGAGTAGAGATGACTTCACTTAGTCCTATGGTCCAAGTCTCCCAGAGATTGGTACCTATTTGGGAAGATGAGGACCAAGGATGAGTTAAGGATGTGGAAACCTCCTTCAGTTGTAAACCAGTACCGAGAGAGTACCCATGATTTCCTTCCAGATAACCTTATCATTAATTAAGCTGGATTCAATTTCCTTCTGACTAATAGACGAAAGCCAAAGTTAGAGGAGTTAGAGCCATAAGACCTGGAAAAAGAGACATTCAGGCTAGCTCTAAATATAGGAAGAACCTATGTGACATAGAGACAGACTGAGTATTGACGGGTAAATCTTAAGATGAGGCGAGAGACAAAAATGTAAGCTGAACAGACCTGACTAAAGGTAGAATAAGAAGGGCCTAAGACAGCAAGGTACTAGGGTTCACGCCTATCAGCATTATTCAGTTAAGCGTGCTTAGATGAAAGTAACCCAACGAAAGGTAACCGTTGGGAAGTTCTTGTAGAGGTCCTGACTAAGGTATAAGCAGAGTATTGGTTTAAAAGAAGCCCGGTATGAGAGAAAACCTAATTAGAAAAGTAAAGGGTGACTAGGATTGGTCCAATTGAGATTATGATAGTGAGGTGTTTTCTTCAAGGGAAATAGATATAGAAGAGAAGTAAGAAATGACAGAGAGTAACCTGAGAGATAGGTAGTCGTTGCTATGAGACCCCCCTCAAGAGAGGAATGGTTGGGCTAAGAGAGCTTGACCAGGGAATGAGTCAAAGTTGAAAGACGTCTCCAAAGGCTAATGGCTAAAAGTATGGTAAGCTAATAAAGAATAGGAGTCTAGACCCTAATAGGGAAGCAAGGTGACAACCTAAGCCTTGGGTAATTAGTTAAAGGTGCCTGACTAGAAGGTCACATAGCGGAGATGTTTTAATGATCAATGCCTGCTGTGTAATATGGTCACTTTATGATTAGCATATGACCATAGAAGTAATGGGTAAAGGTACAGTATCTAGTCAGAGGTATAAGTCAATGCCCTAGTAAGGGAACTGAATGTCAACTTGTACCTTGAGTAATCGATATGACCTCGATAGAGGCATGGTAACAAAATGAGATGTTTAAAGCTTGTTCAAATCCCTGAATAGAGGTGCAAATTCCTAAGGGATAGTGAACCAAGAGGGACAGAGATTATATGACAACGAATGAAGGGTCAATGATGACATTGGTGCCAGACCTAGATATCGCACAGAAAGATGATTAAACATTTGCTATGTGATGTGATGTGAAGAGGGTATGGTGATCAATACCGGCCCAAAAAAATAATTGGTCAAGAGGTGAAGAAAGTGAGAGAGAGTAAAGTGAGGCAAGATCCCTCTTGAGGATAGAGATGAAAGGAAATGAATAAGAACATGATAGTGGATGGTTGCATTGGGAACTAATGAACAAAGAGAGATAAGCAAGTTCCTTGTGATATCTAGAGCTCAATGATACTTAGATATATGATAATGTCAAGGACTAAAACAATATTCTTTTATGTCCCTAAGGTATCCAAGAGCATGCAACCATGGCAATTAGGCCATTAAGGAATCTAAGAAATGAGATTCCTATAGATAGATGCCACTGCTTATAAGATTGAGTACTCCAGTAGAGAGGCTCTCTTTGATAGAGATATGGTATTCGAGGAATGTACCCTGGCTGAGATTGCATGAGGAAAGTCTTGACCATGAAGTACCTCTCTAAGATTGGGAAGTGGTTCTCTGGATCAGAGTGACGCTGCTCTAGTAAGAGTAAGCTATCCTCTGAAGGAATGAAACAGAAAGCAAGTGGTTGAGTTGACGATGCTCAAGTTAAAGCAATCTGTCCTCCCACAGGAAAAGCAGAAGTAGCCGAGATAAGGCACAGGAGGACCTTACCCCAGAGAGAGAGTGAAACTGGTTAAGACAACAGAAGTGTGATATGCAAATAGATGCTCCTCGAGCTTAGTAGGGTACTACAAAATACTGAAGGATAATGAGAATGTGATGATATAAGTCCTCTCCTGATGCTGTCCAAACTATTAAGAGACAGCAAGGACTATAGAGTCCTAAGACAAGGCAGGCCGGCATTGATGTAACGGCAAGTTAGTGGGCTCTAGAGATGAGCCAATGCCTAAGGATTTGAAAGGCACAAAGAAAGGAAAGTGACTTAAGGAAGCTAAAACTAAGGGCTAAAGAAATATGGAAAGGCTAAGAATTCCAGGAGTTGATAGAAAGGATTGAGTAAGGCCTAAGAAGACAATATTGATATCTGTGATCAGTCTTGAAGAATAATTAGTCAAGTTACTAGCTGAGTGGAGGTGACTTATTTTATTACTCAACTCTGTGGTCTAGAGTCTTCTAGAGATCCTACGATGGCTCAGATTGATGATAGTATTCCAGGGTCATAGTAGATTGTAACATCCTGAGTTTTTATCAGGTTTCATAGCCTCTTTTGGGTTGATTTTGAGGATAGATTAGTGATTTAATCTTAATCTTAGTGTTTGGGTTGGATTTGAGGTATGTTGGAGGAATAGGTGAACATACCCCTTTCATGGTATGTTCGCCGCAGCGCACCGGGAGTTCCAGGTAGGGGTTGTCTTTCGGGCAGGTTTGGCCGCGGCGAAGTCTTGGGAACACTGCGGCGAAGTTGTTCAGGTGAGCAGGGTTTCCCTCTCGGGAAGGTTTAGCCGTGGCGAAAGTAGGGGTATGCCGCGGCGAAGGTTTTCTAGGCAAGCGAGAGTTTCCTTTCGGGAAGCTTTCGCCGCGGTGAAGATTGGAGTTCACCGCGGCGAAGTTGGGTTTTCAGGCGAGTAATGCCTCTCGGGATTAGTTCGCCGCGGCGAAAGGTCCCGAATCTATATAGTCGCGGGAGTGGTTCAGTGTGCGAAAATTAGAAAATCCGAAGGAGGAGAGAGGAGCTCTGCTAGGGTTTTGAATTTCTGGCTTGGAGGGGGCATTTCTAAGGATCCATTACCTCAAGTAAGTGATTTTAACCTCTAATCTACTTTTTTTCTTGGAATTTCTGAGGATTTTTGGTGGAACCCTAGGATTTTCTAGGTTGTGATGGAATTGAGGTTTTTGACCGATTGTTTTGAGTTTAATTGATTGCTTTGGGTTAGTCTAAGTATTTAATCGGTGTAGTTTTCTTGGATTTAAAGAATATTGAGTTTTTGAAGCTAGGGTTTGTGGAAATAGGTGATTTGGGATTGAGGTTGATAATGTAGAGGTTGATTCTGAGTTTTGTGATTTGGGTTATGTTAAGGAGGGTTAAATTGGATGTTTAATCAGTTTAGATTTGTTGTTGGAACCTTAATTGCTCAAATGGGATGTTTGGGTGTAGAGTTTCTATAGTGGGTCCTTGAGGTTATGAATTTTAATTGATGTTTGGAAAGGAATTAAGGTTTTAATGGATTGGTATGACTTTAGAGTGTTGCCTTGATAGTTATACCCTTTGAGTTGGGTAGAGTTGTGATGAGAGATAGGAATTTTGTGTCCCCAAGTGTTGTGTTGGCCACATTATTAGTTTGAAAGCTAATATATGTTGGTTGTGTGTTTATGTGCTTGTGTAGACCAGTTGTGAGTCTTGGTGGTGCACGGGGCCACATCATTGGTTTGTTGTTCCTTGCTCAGGCGAGAGGTAACCACTTTCCAATCCTTAGTACTTGCTTCTGTGGTATTGTGAGTAGATTTATGTTTTGTGCTCTGAGTAACAATTATATTCAAATGGTATGTTGTATATGTAAAAAGGAAAACCGTCTTGTGGGGTTTCGATTGATGATGAATGAAATCTTGAAATTGTGAAGGATATGCCACTGAATGAAGTTACTTATGAAATGTTCAATTACTATTTGATTATGGTTTGAGCATGATGCATGAATTGGGAATTGGTGAGAGTTTTTGATAGTTACTACCACGTGGTAAGGCCTCCATTAATGCATGATGGTTGGCTTAGTACGTCCCCCATAGTGAGGGATAAGCCTTTTGGCTCCCTACGTCCCCCCAGAGTGAGAGATAGGCCTTTTATGGCTCTTTACGTCCCCCATAGTGAGGGATAGGCCAGGTTCGGCTCTTGAAAATCCCCCAAAGTGAGGGATAGGGTTGATGGGAATTGCATCATTTCACTCGCATGAATTGTTGTGGCTACCTTGTTATCATATTATTTGTGAACTGCCCCACTTGACACCTCATAAGCACCTATTTAGTAGTACCTAGTATTGGAAAGGCTGGTTACTGGGACTTTGTCTCACCCCGTGGTTTACAATATTTTCAGGTGAAGTTTCTAGGTGTGCGCCTTCGGGAAGAGACGCAGAGGCTTGAGCTTGGTTAGCTCTAGACCTCTAGCCTTGGTTTATGTATGATCAGTTGTATATTGCCATAGTTAGGGTCTTTTGTGATATTTTGATTGTTGATCTTATTGTAAATTGGAGAATATGTTATCTCCTCGTTTTAGTTGGTCGAAGGCCTTTTCTATTGTTAGTAGAACTTTGATTTACGTTGTTGAAAACTATTTTATATGGGCTGATGTAGATGTGTTTTGTTACCCGGGCCGGAGGCTCGGAGGCCCAGTGGATATGAATGAATGATTTTAGTTGCATGCAACGGATTATGGGTTGACCCGAGTTTGATAGTCAATTTTTGAAAATATGAAATTTTCCTTCTACTATGGTAGCTTATTTTAACAGCTTTCCTTTTCTACTATAGTAGTGGTTTTATGACGGGTTATGATGTTTTGAGGTTAAGGGTTCTTACATAGATCCTGAAGAGGCTTACGGTAGAGTGCAGTAGCTCTCGAGGTCATAGTAGACCAAGCCTAAGAGAAAATAGCTGAGTCATAAGGGTAAGAGTACAGTACCTCTTTGGGAAGACGATGACCAGAGATCAGTTTAAGATACTGAAATCTCCTTCAGCGGTGGACTAATATAGAGAGAGTACCCTTGACTTGTTCCAGACATGTCTGTTGTCGTTTAGACTAGGCTCAATTCTGTTCTAGTCAATGAAGGAAAGAAAGGAGACATGCCCTTAAAGTAAAGAGGAATGACAGGGTATGCAGCAAAGAATAGATAAAGGTTGTATTAAGAGAACCCAACATGCCATGGTATAATAAAATACCAAGAAGACAGGTATGCTGTTGTGGTATTATAATGAAAGAATGAGCCTAGAGTATAGGAAGAATATGAGCAGTGGTGACAAAATGCTTAAAAGCAAAAGCCATGCTCATGTAAATGACAGAAAAGTATAGAACGACAAGTTATGTAAGTATGAAGTCCAGGGTTGAGACCTGGAAACAAGGTATAATAAAAAATTGAAGAGGTTAAAGTTAAGTATAAGTGAGGATATTCTCCTCAGTTAACCTCTCATTAAAGGTGAGAATAGAGGGTTGACTCAGAATTTCGAGGACGAAATTCTTTTGAGAGGGGGAGAATTGTAACATCCAAACTTTTGGACCTAGAAGTACCAGAAATAGCCAAAATTGGATAGGCTACTAGACCCCTTTTGAGCAGAAGTCCCAAAGATGAGAAAGGAAGTCAAAGCAGTTTTGGGGACTAAACTGCAAAGTGAAAGTTTTTAGGGGCTCAAGTGTAATTAAAGTTAGAGGCTCCAGTAAAGTCTCGAAGGCCCAAAAAGAGAAAAGAAGCTAGATACAAGCCAAGGGGTAAGTTACAAACCTCAAAGAGAGGATTATATGAAGTTAAGTCTAAGCAGGGACTAAACTATAAATTCAAAAAGTTATGACCAGCAAGGGCAAAAATGGAAGAGTGTACAGAAAATTCCAAGAAAATCCCAGAAAATGGAAAATAATATTCTAAGACTCTTCTATGAAGAGAAAAGATGAAAATACCCCTGAGATAGCTTAAATGGAATTTATGAGGTTATGGCTAGTAAAAGGTACACTATTTGGGGTAATTATTTAAAATAGCAAGAGACCTAAAAAATATATGTAAAAATGAGGATTAATTGGTTGAAAGGTTATGCTAATTTATAAAATTAGTCTCGTAACCAAAAGGCCAGTGGAATGGCTTTAATAAATTAAAGAGCACATTATATCGATAAAAGGGTATTTTAGTAAATGATTTTTATACAAGGCTTAAAGGAGGTGTTGTGGCCTGAGAAAATTCATAGATATTCTCTAGAATAAAGGAGAATTTATGGAGTAGACAGAAGAATTTTTTGAACCCCAGAAGGCCATAAAGAAAGCCGGAGAAATGTGGGCCAAGTAAATTCGGAGGAAGCTTATGAAACAAGTTTGATCCAACGGCTAGGATCTAATCTCCCATCTCCTCCACCACTTTTATGACACTTGGCATCTTTTAGAAGGTTGAGGTAAGCATGATGTAATAAGATGATGTAATGATGATACAAAAGTCCACTTGAACTTCCAAATTTGCCCTTACCCTTTCTATTAGCCACCAAGGGCATTTTGGTCCATTCAAGCCAACCTTTTTGGCTATAAATAGAGCCTCTTCCCCTTCATATTTTCAGCCAACATGAGTTTAAGAGGGGAAACTCTTCCAAAATTTAGAGAGAGAAACGTAGGGGTGAAGGCCAAGAAGAAGGAACAAAGTTCAAGCTTCAAGATCAAGGTATGTGGTGGCTGTAGCATTTGATTTGATACCTATTTTGAATTAGTTACTGTGCATATCTAATTCTGAAATTTTGCATGCTTAAAGTACATTCTGTGAGCTATAAATCCATGGGAAGAAAACTCTATTTGGATATGTGTACGATTTATGGTGATTTTTCAAATTTAGAGATTGAAATCTGAAAACAGTGTTGAACTTTTAGAAGAGTGTCGAGTTCCGTACAATTCCAGTGCTGTTCAGCATAGAATTGGTTCCTAAAACTATTTTTTGTTCAAAATTAACTTAAGGAGCTTTCATTGAGACTTGGAAACACTCAATTTTGATTTTTCTATAATTAATTATGAATTTTCAAAGTTGAGTAAAAATTCTGGAGATTCTGCATGAACAGTACCCGCGAACCAAAATTTCGAGATTTGATCTTCTTGAATCTAAGGCCCTCTAAACTTGTCCTAATTGACAAGAAATGGATCTTAAGGATGGGAAATAATAAGATTTATATTAGAAAAGTTAGAAAGAAAACCCTAAGACTAAGAGAAAGGGTTGAGGTTCAAGAAAGCTAGTCTTGAACTTTATGTAATCTCTCGGTCCTAATGGGTTGTGTGACCAATGTGATTATGTTTAGGATCTTGGAACATCTAAGAGGATGTTTGATGATGTTGGGTGAAAGCTACCATGGTTGGAAAGTCATGGGAGTCAAAGGAAAAGTGAAAGAAAAGCTTGAGGTGCAAGGTAGTGAACTTACCTATTGTCATTGCTTGATATGGTATGCTTGTGTGTTGCCGTGTACATGTTATTTTCATGTTGTTGTGACATGTTTTAGCTGCTGTAATTGGTATTCATGATGAGTAGATTATGTCTCCATGGCCATGCATCAAGAAGTTAGCTTTGAGCATGCTAGTATGTCACTAATTAACAAGAGAATAAACAAGTTGCGTGTAGTGCATGAGCATCCATCTAGCATAATTAATATGGTATTGTTTGCTACTGAGATTCCCCCAAATCTCACCCCCTCCCTAACCAACCATTTAGGTCAATCAATGATGGGCACTAATGGCATGAGAAGCAAGGAGTAGAAGTGGAGAATTATTGATGCTAATGATTGATACTAATATTCAATGTATAATTCTCCTATGTTATAATTATATTGTGAATGCCATGTATTTAATTATAAAGCTTATGGCATGTATAGGAATGTATGAGCATGAATGGGAAAAAGTAAGCCCATGTTAGGTATGCCAAAGAAATAAAAAGACTTAGAGTAAAGAGATGTTAAGGGATAAAACGTAGGTCATAGAGCAGTTAGTTTCAAGCTTCAGTTTGACCTATCATATGAATGAGTTAAGCTACGAAATTTGGTACACTTATAGTACACATCCCAAGCTTTAAAATGAGTGGTGAATCGCCTCATTTGGATGTGTATACGAAGAGATATGAATTTTCAAAGTTAAGGCGCAGAATCTGGAAAGTCCAGATTTTACCAAACGAATAGTAATCTTAATCCAATAAACTGTACGTTTTCAATGAGGATGAGTTCAGTTGAATATTTTTCTCTTAAAGAGTATTGAAAGATATTTCCGTAGAATTTTGGAACACCTCTATACGATTTTTCTAGAATTAGTTATGATTTTTCAAAGTTGGACCTGTAATCTGAAAACTGGACAGTGAACAGTAATTTTCCGAAAATTAACGTCCAAATTGAAATTTTTAAGTGTAAGACCATCCAAAGTGGTTTGGAATGGTTCTAAATGACTACTAAGGTACTATAATAGTAAGGTGTGACACTCAGGCTAGGCAGGAACAGGAGAAAGATGCTGCTATAGCTACAACAATAGCAGCAGTACTGGCACAATTGCAGCAACCCAAACAAGGTATAGCCGAGACAGCCCAGCCCGTACCATAAACACAATAGCAACAATAGGACACTGCTCCTATGAGACCTCAACCTACTACAGAACCTAACACATTGTAGCAGTGGATTGTTGAATTTGGGAAACACCACCCTCCAGGCTTTAAGGGGACCTTTGATGTGCAAGTAGCTGAGGACTGGATAACTCGGCTTGAAAAGATTTTTAATATTCTAGAATGTCCATTTGAGAGGAAGGCTCAGATGGTAATCTACAAAATAGAAGGGGAGGCTGATAGATGGTGGAAGAATACTGAGTTGGTCCTCCAGGCCAATGGAACCCTGATCACATGGGAAGTGTTTAAGGATCAATTCTTTCTGAAATACTTTCCTCGATCTATGACGGATGAGAAGGAGGCAAAGTTTCTTACCATAAAGCAAGCCATGAATAAACCCTTTGATAAGTACTTGGTGAGGTATATCAAGTTGTTCAGGAACTCCACTTATCTCTAGCATAAGAACGATGAATGCTAGTTTACAGAAAAGATGATTAGAGGGTTAAAGCCCGAGTTAAGAGAAAAGGTGGCCCTACGACAATTTGAAGTGTTCAATAAGGCAGTAGAAGTCTATTATATCACCGAGAAAAGCTAGAACCATGCAGAACTAGCTAAGGTAATCCCATAAGCTGTGCAGTTTGGGACAAAGACGGGGCAGGAAGGTACCTCCTTTGGTGATAGCTGGACAAAGAGGAAGTTTAATTAGAATAGGAGATAGAGGTGAGGAGTATGATGAGGAAGTACAGAGAATGTCGACCAGGCAACAAAGGATGTTCACTAAGAAAGGGAATGCAAGTGTTGTGACCGTAATCACAGAGATAGGCCGTGTGCCATGGGTTAAAACGTGTACTTCAGATATGGACGACCCTGACACTTTACCAGGGAGTGCCTGCAAGGTGCCGACTATCACATCCAGTAATATGTTAATTAGGAATAAGGATATTTCTAAACAATTAAGGGCCAAAAAGGATAAGGAGAAATAGAAGATTTATGGTGGAAAATAATTATTATGGTTTTCCAAGTTAATTATAGAAATTTGACTACTTAAGGAAAATTGGTCAAAAATAATTATGGAAAAATATTTCCAAACCTCAGCAAATTAAGAAAAAATAAGGATAATGGTCCTTGAGAATTATATGAGGTTATATAATTGATTTTATGACCAAATTACCCTTGAAAGGATTACAAAGGAAGTTAACGGTGATTTAGGCTAATTTGAGGCCTTTTATTTGGAAAATTCCAAATAAATATTTGGAAGAAGAATAAAATTCTAAGAAAATTTTTATAACATCCCAAGGAATTATAAGAGATTATGGAATTAAAAGGAGACCCTCAAATATTCAATATTTTTCCTAATTCCTTTGACAAGTGGAAAAATCACTAATGAGAAGGGAAATAGCTTTCCTTTTTATTTAATTAATGGAAATTTGAGATTTGGATAAAAAGGGAATTTTGGCAAGAGAAAAATGAGGAGAATAAATTATAGATCTAATAGATAATAATTACAGAAGCCAGAGTACTATAATTATAGAAAAGAAGTTAAACCCAGAGTACAAGTGCACCGATAAAGTATAGATTAGAGTCTTGCGCTTTGCTAGGCCAACAATTTACCATTTATTAAGACCGTAATAGAGAGTAATTAAAGTTGCCAAGTGGCAAGCCTTAAGAGGAGAGGATCTTGACTTTGAAAACTAATTACATTTGGATTTACTTAATTAAGAAAGAAGTTTAAAGGAGTAGGGAAGTGACACTTGGCAAATCATTAATTGTTGGTGGTCGGGATATTTTGTGCACTTAAGTGAGCTCGTTCTCCCCTATTTTTTAGATGTGTGGTTCAGCCATGAGAGAACAAGAGAGGAAAAGAGAGAACTTGACGGGTGAACAAGGAGGAATCAACCACTTTGGATCAAGAAAGCTTGGAGTTAAGGTTAGTAGTTGATATTCTATTGTTCCTTGCTTAATTCTCTTGAATTTGATGGTTGGAAAGATCATTTCTTATTTCTCCTTGCTGCTGGCTAAAATGTATGATGTGTAGGGGAGAAAGTTTTGTTGTTCATACATGTTAGAACACTTGAAATCTTGGTTGTTCCAAGTGGTTTCCACTGATTGTATGTTATTTTTTAAGAGATTTCTTTGATGCTTCTCAAATTGTACTATTCAGCCATGATCATAACTAGACCCTAGGATGTGTTTTTTAATGTTTTGATTCCTCCATTATGTTTAAAATGGAAAATGGTGTAGGATAAACCTAAAGAACAAGTGTTGGAAGCAATAGAATCCAAGTTGTAATATTTGGATAATGAACCCTTTTGCTTCGACTAAGCTGCAACTGGAAGAAGGAACTTTTTTTTTAAATCCAAGTGTATATTTAGATTCTACATGAAAAATTATGTAGGAATGAACCAAGAAAGAATTTTAGGGCTTAAGGAAACAAAGCTCAAAAATTAAAGATCAAAGGTTAAAGCTTTAAAGGGCAAGGGTTTAATTGAGTTTTGTTATTAATTTTTGATATGGTTGAAGGGAATTGAAAGACGCGCAATGGAATAAACTTTAAAATTTTCAATCCCTTACCCGGATCTACCAATCGTGTTTAAGTCAAGTAGTAAGAAGCATTTCGATGTTCGGTCTCTTGGTGGCTCGGGGATTCCGCTGTTCAGGATGCCTCTGCTCGCCTCTTTTATCGCTCGAAGTTGACAACTCTGGTCGGCTTCCTCTACCGGTATCCACACGAACAGCTCCCCAATCACAAACGACGTGCTAGCGCCTTTTTGTCTGTCTAGGGTTTTTTTTTGAAGAAACCGTCCTCCCTTCTCTAGTTTTGGCTGTCTCTCATCTGCTAGTGTTTTCACTCTCACTCTTAAAACCCTAGCTCCTCATATCAAATATATAGGATGCTATAGGTATTATGAATGATATTTAATTTCAAAATTAATCTTAAATTAATTCTGAAATTAATACAATATGAAATATTGCCTAATCAGATAAGAGAACAATTAAATAAATATGGTTTATATTAAATCCGTCTCACAGATTTAATTCACCTATTTATTTAATTCAAAATAAAGATATGACGGAATTAATTTATATAGATCTAATTTATCCTTATAAATTAAATCTAACAATTAATATCTCTTATATTTATATAATATGTATATATATATATGAATATATATATACACGTCCACCCTATATTATTCATTGAATCTGGACATATCTTAGATTCAATGAATCTGGACATCATAACTCGTGTTGGGCTATTTTGTGTACGACCCTGTTGGCCCATATGAAGTTGGCAGTGGGCCATTAACTATAATGACTCACAAGTCGTAAGCGGTCTCTAGCAAGACATCACGACTACCCAAATCATATGAGGATCACTGAACGATGTAACCTTTCATATAACCATATCACGTCCCTTTTGTCACACGACATTTTGGTCATGGGTGAGGCATGGAGAACGTCATCCTCCTATTCATGACCGTTACTTTCTCGATCCCTGAGTAGTCTGAGTATAGAAACGGAACTACCTTTCCATTATAGTATGGCCATACATTTCTCAGACTCACTCATCAAGGGGCCCAGTAATATCTCTCTATGAATGTGAGGGACAAATTCCTTCTTGACCATTCACATTCCTCCGCATGAAAAACCACTAAGCCTGAACATAGTCTTTATGATCACTCGGTCAAAAGTGACTTTTGACTAGGTCAAAGCTGAGCGTTTCTCATGCAGGAATTCATGATGATCTCAGGTCAAAGGGCACAGTGACATGGTTTGTATATGAGAGAAGCTTATGACTTAACCCATGCAGCTCTCTCATAGCGGGTCGGTCCAACACCTCGTACTCTTACGTGTGCCCATGACTTTGATTTATATCTCTATATATCTTCAAAGTCATACTAGTCTTATTTCATCTCTGCTCCCACATAAATGACTGACCAGGGACATTTAGGATAAATCATGAGTTATCCAAGGATAGTCATCATAGTAAACATGCAAATAATATGATAACATAATTAAGAAATTCATAAATCAACAATGTTCATAATACAATGATTGGCCATTAGGGCACAATTTCCAACAATGGTTTGGTTGGTAATGTTGCTACCCCTTTAATGGTTTGTGATGTTAGGGTTTGTTAATTGTGGAGGAGAGGAAGAAGGTCAAAGAATCAAAGAGCATTTGAGTCAAGGTAGTAAGATTTAATTAACTTTAATGTTGATTGTTGCATTGATTGCTATAATTCCATAATTATATTTGACCAATTTTCTTTAATTAGTCAAATTTCCATAATTGGCTTGGAAAATCATAACAATTATTTTTCACCAAAATTCTTCTACATCTCCTTATCATTTTTGGCCCTTAATTATTTAGGAATATTCCTTATTCCTAGTTACCATAGTACTAGATGTGACACTTTACAGCTTCTGTGCCTAAAATCTAGACATAAGAGGGGGGTGAGTCCAGTCATAAGATAATTGACAATATCAGCATACCAAGGCTCTTTAACAACCACAGCATATAAAACGGAATCAGGGAAAGAATCACAAGTGAGTTCAGAAGAGTCTCCTCCCCTTGTGTCCTTTGGTAACCTACTTAGGTGATCGGCTACATGATTTACTGCCCCGGCTCGATCCTTTATCTCAATGTCAAACTCTTGCAGTAGCAAAGCCCATCTTATCAATCTTGGCTTGGATTGTGGCTTTTTGAGTAAATAGCAGACAGCCGCATGATCTGTAAACACAACCACTCAAGAATTGATTAGATATTGCCTAAACTTATCTAAGGCAAAATCAATAGCAAACATTTCCTTCTCAGTGGTGGTATAGTTGACTTGAGCTGGGTCAAGTGTTTTAGAAGCATAAGCTATGACTCTAGATTGCTTCTCCTCCTTTTGACTAAGTATGGCACCTACTGCAAAATTAGAAGCGTCACATGATAGTTCAAAGTGTAAATGCCAGTTAGGTGCTATTAGAATGGGAGGTGAAACAAGTATAGATTTAAGAGTATCAAAGGCATGTCTATAGTTGTCATCAAAGTTAAATTCCATATCTTTTTTCAACAAAGTAGCAAAAGGTAAGGCAACTTTACTAAAATCTTTAATAAATCACTAGTAAAACCCTGCATGCCCTAAGAAGGATCTCAAATCTTTAAGACAAGTAGGATAAGAAAGTGAGGAAATGACTTCAATCTTAGCCTTATCAACCTTAAACCCCTTTTCAGAGATAAGGTGGCCTAAAACTATCCCACTATCTACCATAAAATGGTATTTTCCAAAATTTAAGACTGGCTTCTTATCTATGCACCTCTCAAGGGCCTGCTTTAGGTCATTCAGGCACTGATCAAAACTCTCCCCATAGACTGTGAAGTCATCCATGGAGACTTCCATGTTTTCCTCAAGAAGATCACTAAAAATTGCCATCATGCACCTTTGAATGGTACCCGGAGCGTTACACA